AAGAGAGTTATTCTTCAACCAAGTCGAAAACCAACCCTTTAAATACATTTTCGAGTAGTATGATTTAATTTATTAGAATATTTCAAATGGTTGCTTCCAACTTCTTATATTCGAACCATTTGTTAATGAAACAATTGTTCGTGAAGTGATTGTTGACAAAATGAATCAAACTCACATTAAATGTTTTATTTTTAAATTCACGATTTTAATTGGCCAATCAATCAATATTGCGTAGGTTAAAATTTTGTGTTGCCAGAACGGTCTCTCCGTTGTATAATAATAACGAACAATTATTTCATGTGGCCGACTGTAGAAGGTTGAGTTCTGTGCGCTGAAATGACCCGAGAGGAATTTCTCCACAAAAAAATAACAAAAAAAAAAGTTTGGACGGCTGTCATATTTATATGTTTCGAATTTAATAAAATAGACTATTGTCTTGGCCCGAGTGATGTCATTTTTTTGCTCTTTGCGACGAAGACAAAAAACCCAACTTATTTGAATTTTTATTCTCGCGTAGCACGGTATGTGTGTTGTGTAATACGAAAAGCAAAAGCTCAATTGCGTTCTCAGTTATAAGCTTGTTTAATATTATTAGGCTTTTTTTTCTATATAATAAAAAAAAAATTTATAATTCTAAAGAATGATGGTGTGAATGTTAATAAGTAAGTTGTAAGTTGTTAGGAGCAAAAAATATATTTGATCGGCTTTTTCACATCAGTTGATCATGGGTGGCTAGAAAAGGACAGGGGACAGGCATTAACCACAATTACCTGTCTGTATCCTGTCCTTTTCTAGTCACCCGATTTATATCGTTGTAGTCAAGATGATTTAAATCGCAGAAACATTACATCAATAATGTAATATCATCAACAAAATCCTTGTAGTTTAACATACAAAATTCAATTGGTTCATGGATGTAATCCGCTTGAATTGGAATGGAGATTGTATGTGAATTTGAAATCTGTCAATTTGAAATTCACGTGCATGAAATTCAAATTAGCCAATCAGAATTTTATATCCAAACACCACCCCAAAATTTAATTATTACAACATATGGAGTCATCTGAAAGCATTATATTCAACGCTAGACACATAGATTAGATATGTTCTTGATGGTGAAAATTATTGTTCAGTTGATTGTCGTCTTTCTTGTTTGCCTGTTTTTTGGTAGTGGTAATGATATTTTATGGTAATAATATTATTAGTAATTCGTCTATCCACTTATAATAGTAGATGGCGGTAAATTTGATGAATTAGTAATTGCCATCGTTGTTGTTTCATCTAATTTAATTTTTTCGTTGGTGGTTTTTTAATTAAAAAATTCTGCGAGTTTTGAGAGAATTTTTGATAATATTCATTGCAATAATGAAGGGAGTGAGCTTCATGGAGAAATATTCCACATTGTTATTTAATTGAATCAATAATTCTAAAACTGGGATCAACAAAAACTCATTTTGCTTTTTGCATGTTGGACAAAATAAGGCAACTACATAAACAGTTTTGGAAGAGAATTTTTATATTTGATAAAAATTTATTGAAAATGATCAAGCCAATAACATCAAAAAGAAGAAAACCAAGAGTGAAAGAGATATGGACCACAAAATTGAAGAACAAATTAAAGCAAAATATTGCAAACATTCGAACTACATTTTGACAACATCTGAGACGGTTAACAGTTATGAACAAATTCTTCATTATTAATAGCATGAAATATACATTACTATATCATCAAGGCATAAAAAATAATCTATTCCCCGAAGGAAAGTACAAAGTCATAATAAATTTTTTCTTTCATCTTAAATCCTTTTACCTCTGGGTAATTAATGACATCCACCCTATCTTCAAAATTTTAAAGAATTCACAAAGAGACATCAACAATGGTTAAACATTTGCAAAATATGCCATTTTATCAAAAACTTGGTCCTTGATTTAACTAAAAAGGTGCTTTTTACTGCATGTTTAACCTAAATCAAATTGAATTTTTTACCTGTAAAAAGTGCACTTGGAAAATTACAAAGTAACCCGTCCCAAATTTTAATAGTAAACTGATGTCACGTCATGAATCAATCTCACCAGTAAAGTTCTCTACTCTAAACAATTACATATCTATCAATTCTTAAGAAAAAGGAGGGCTCAACAAAGAAAATATTGAAAATGTAAATACAATACTGAATTGAAGACATTCGCTAAAACCAACAGAATGATGATTATGGTATGGTTTTATTTTTCGTATATATATGTAATATTTTACTTTTTTTTTTATAATTAGGCCTGCTATCAAAAGAAAATATATAAAATTTTTCTATTTATGTAATTATACATTATTGGAAGAAAAGTATTTTTTTAAAAGAAATAAATTTGCGTCTTTATAGATATCTCCAAATGAATGAACAAAAAATAATGAAATAAATAGTGAAAAAAGTTTTTAATTACAGAAAATGAAAAAAAAATTATGAACGAAAAATAATAATGTTATTGTTGTTATTGGATCCATAATTATTTGAATTTTTTATGTAATATTTGACATTGGATGAGACACAACAAGTAAAAGTAGAAGAAATAGATGAAACTCTACTTATCATGTTCCAGATTTTGCAAGAGCAACTAAACATATAGGTGTTAATAGCATTTTCTGTACTTATTATAGTTGGTTAGTAGGTAAGTTTGATGAAAGTGTTGCAAATATTTCAATTGGATGAGATTAAATGTGTATAAATTATTATATTTAAAAATTACATTATTAGTCTTTGAGAGAAAAAATATATTAGGGCTACTCATAATTTAATTAAAGAGAAGTGTGAATTAGAATATCCACCAATGTAGAAAGTGATTGTGAAGATGACTTCACTGTAGGAATTTTTAAAGGGAGATCTGTTCTGAAAGGTGATGAATATCTGTCAGCTTAATTTTTTTACCATCAAAAAAGTAACTCCACAAGATGCGCATTACTAATCCTCTTTGAACATTTTCATTTTATAGATGCTGGTCGCAATTCTTGGTGATTGTTGCAACCATATTTGCGACATATAAAAATGGTTTGTGACACCTGGTTGCAACCACCTTTGCAACCACTTTGGTTTCCTTTTTTGGATCGCGACATGGAACACTATGATAAGTGTATATGAAAAGTAATAATAAATATAATGGTTCTAATGAATATCAAAAGGCAATTAATTTTTTAGAAAAAGGATGTAATTGTGGTTGCTCTTCAAGAATT